CACACACACACACACACACACACACACACACACACACACACACACATCAGAATATTTATACCGAACGTGTCTTTGCTAGCACTTCTTACTAATAATATGCATGCGCGCACACACCCACACACAGACACACCTCAGAATATTTATACCGAACGTGTCTTTGCTAGCACTTCGTACTAACAATATTCATCAGTCAAATCTTGCCATTTTTTTGTGGTAAAGAAGTCGAACATTCAAATGCAACATAGCAAAAACCACACAGTGAGGTTTCATGGGCTAAAGCGACTTACAACTCTACCGCTCTCGTAGTGCAAAAAGTAACCAAAAACGCTGCAACCCTTCCAATGATAAAATCATCAGAACAGTGATAGTAAATCTGTGTCCCCACAATCCTCAAAAGTCTTTTTTCTTATTTTGCCCTGGCGCCTTTGATGGAAAGGCTCATTTGTAGATGCTTTTCTGTTGAAAAAAACATTCACATGTGACTCAGCAAACTGATTGTTTTTATCACGTAGATATTCTATTCTGTCTAAATTTGTCAGATTATGAAAGACTTTTTCAATGCTGCATGCTGAACCTGGCTTTCCGCACCAACTACAGCTGTGAGACTCCACCGGCACAGCCTAAGAGTTACTGACCATAAATAACAAACATCGAAGAGGTCAGTATCTCAGAATCCGTGCAAGTGAATCGCGGTGTATCACTCCTCAACTGCTGTATTCTTTGCTTCCACTTCCCCATTCAGCTCCTTCCGTATCAGGCAGAAGTCAAAGGTGCTTTCATGCACAGAAAGGGTAGCATTTGCTTTGTGTCTTGCTTCTATGCATAGCTGAACTCTACCCATTTATGTAGAAAGGCTGCTTTTGAAACAGGAAACTGCCTTGATGGGTTGCCAAACGTATCCGTACAGGCCGCCACCATGCATATCGCACAATGGACTTCCAGATGCAAATTTGTGTGTGCGATGCACGCACATGTCCGAACGTATGAACAACATACATATGAACAACATACAAACCAGGTAGGAGCCTAGATGCGAACCCTTTCGCACCTTGCCACCTTGGGCTTGGAGTCCGTGAGAGAGAGAGAGAGATCTTGATTCATTGCCGTTGTCGTCATCATCCACCTCCTCCTCACGCTTGTCCTCCACATCAACCTCCACCTCTCGCTCCTCCTCTGTGCACCATTTTCCTCTGCATGGGCAACATGGCCCGCGCTTCCCTGCCATCATCCTCTGCTGTCTCCTCCTTCTCCCCTTACGATCGACCAGAGCAACCCATTTTCGACCCAGATGAGTAGAACAAAAATTGAAACAGCCTTACCTTATTGCAATCAGACTCGCTTTCTTCTTTGCTTCGCATACATGCAAACAGATGGCATCCCACACTGGCACCAAGCGCCCACTCAAAGCTCAGAGATATGGACGTCGAGAACACAGTTCAGATGTAAACTCACTTCAACAGGCTATGGCGCATCAGCACCTGTACATCCCAACTCTCGTCACTGCGTCCAACACCACTGTTCACACATACTCACTCTGGATCACCCTGAATACCCCATACGCGATTACTGTATCACACACTCACACACTAAAGCCTATCTTCAACCTACAGCGGCTATGGCCGCTCAACTACTACTGACTATGGTTACGCTATCTTCCTTCAGCCCACTTCGACTCCGGGCGACCGGCAGACCACCTCGCACAAGACGCTGGGACAGCGCTTCCGCAGGGCTCACGCAGTAATGAATGACTGGCTGGGCGCTGCCTCTTGATTTATACTTCTGTAAGTTGTTGGTCTGCCCCTTTTCCACCGGGCCCATGGTGCACACAGTCCTGCATGGTACTTGCTGTCTGTGCGAAGTGAGACTGGGACTGGGGACCGTCGACTAAGCGAAGTTGGACTCACCACTTGCCCACTTGCCTCTGACTAATCGTGGGAACTCTCAAAAGGCCACTTCTGGACCTTCCGGAAGCTTGTGGACTTGGCCTTTCGGGACTGTAGCAGCTACGACCTTGACCTTTCAGAAATGCTACAGCTACGACCTCTACACAGCTATGACCCCTACTCGACAGACCTACAGATCGAACCCCTACAACTACACAGACCTACGACAGACAACAGCCAACTACCAAAACACAGGTCGCGGATTCAAACACTAAGGGGTCAACTCAGTACTGTACATGGGTAAGGTAAGGTCTGGGTATCTAACTCTAGGGCCCGCACCTGTGACTGCAAAAAGGTGAAAACCGTTTCACTTATCATCTATATGGCTATCGAACTCTAGGGCCTGCACCTGTGACTGCAAAAAGGTGAAAACCGTTTCACTTGTCATCTTATATCAAGCCATATTTGATGTTTTAAAACGATTGTAACGTTTTGTTAAGCCACCAGTAGCCCCGGAGCAGTCTTCCCGAACGTTTTTCTTTACAAGCTACCGAACCTCCGAATGCAACTTGTGAGATGTACAGATTCAGTGGGTAACGGGTCCTCCAAGGGAGCGACCGGTAGCTGTACGGTGGTGTTTTTTTTTTTTTTTGTCTTTTCCCTTTGTCTTATTTTTTCCCATCGTTCTTTTATTTTTCCCGTTTGTCTTCTTGTTTTTTCCCCTATTGGCTGCCGTGACTGCCGGGAGAGCTGTTGATGGCGCGGGTGGGGGTCCCATCCTTGCGAAGGGCCATGCTACTCTTGTGTGTATCTGTCCGTGGGGTAAAGGAAGTTTCATTCTCAGTATTTGCACCTTTGTTTTCTGGACTATGGTAGTGTCCTCAACTACTCATTATCGATGCAGATATCCGGACTGCATTGTACATGTTGATACATTCGGGAATGTACACACAAGAGGAAAAAACGAATAAGCAAAAAAAAGAAAGGACAGACCTTTTCCCCTCAAAACGGCGCGACTGGCTGTCAGAGCGGCACAGGCGCCAGGCTTCGAAAGAACTGGAGCCTCGCTCCACTTCCACGAATGGTGCAAAATGAGAATGAATCTTCCGCCGGACCACGGAAAGATACAGAGAAGAGTAGCATGGTCATTCTCATTTGCCACCGTTCATGGATGTGGAGCAAGGCTCCGGTTCTTTCGAAGCCTGCTGCCTGTGCTGCTCTGACAGCCAGTCACACCGTTTTGGGGGGAAAAGGTCTGTCGTGGTTTTTTTTTTGCTTATCCGTTTTTTTCTCCTTTTCCTTTTTCCTCTGGTCGCTCGTTCCGTTTTCAAAACGAACGACCACCCGTGCTGTGCCGAAGCTCGACCAAGCCTCTACCGGGCCTGTCCAGGGATTTCCTGAATTCAAGGAGACGGAAAACTTTGCCTGGGCAGGGTACTCGTGGTTTAATTGCAACGTTCGGATGCGCTCACAAGCCACCTCGGCCGGCCCCATGCGGCTGTGTACTTGAACCATGTCTGTGTACTCGAACCACCACTACACGGCCCATGCAAATCGAATGAGTGAGTTTGCATGAGTGCAACTTTTGGATGAATAGTGCTACCAGACCTAAAAAAAGATTGTGCAATGGGCCGCTTCACTTTTTTTTGTCACGCAGCATGATTCCGGATTGCTAAGGACAGCCTTTGGACGTGGTGGTGGTTAAGCGAGGGATGCACCTTCTATTTTCTGTCTCTTAGTGATGCAATTCATTCTTCTTCGAAAAGGGAGGGAGAAGGGGATGGGAAGGAAGAGAAAGCAGGGGGGGGAAGTAAAGGAGAGTGGAGGGAGGAGAAAAGCAAGGGAAACAGGAAGCGCCACATGTGCGTTTGTATGTGGTGGCCAAGGAC